GTTTACGACTGCTGTTAGAAATAGTCATACGTTTGGCTTAACTATCGGAGGATTCGCTCAAATCAATAAATCAACACTTATTTCGGTATGAATTTTATTTACAAAGTATTACAAAAATTAATTTATTGTAATTATATTTTATGATTTTCTAATAGATTTCTACATTTATATTAAACTACACAATTATATTATTTCAAACATCAAAACAAGGTTAATAATCAATGAAATCATGTGCACTCAATTTAAAAATAGTTAATATAAAGACTTTCGCAAAGATTTAATATTAATTTTAGAAAAACAACTTAAACAGTAAAAATTCAAAACTTATTTAAATGTTATAAATGTTTTTAAGCTTTCTCTTTTATGTATTTCATACTGTTTTAAAATTTTAATTTATTTTGAACCAATTAAATTTGCTAAAATCTATAACTATTAAATTATAGAATGCGTAGTCACATAATGCTATCTTCATGTTATTTTTAAGAAAATTAATTATATATATAAATGAAAAAATTTTTAGAAAAATTGTAATTATGGTAAAAATAATAAAGCAATTAATAAATCAATAAATTATTAATTTTACATTGTATTTTATATTTTATGTGTATGTAAAGATATATATTTTATATTTTATATTTTTTATATTTTATATTTATATTTTATATTTTTTGTGTGTACTTTATATTGTTTTCAAACATTTTTAAATGAATTAAGATGATTTGTTTAACAAAATAAAATAACAATTTTGATAAATTAATGTTACAATATATCTTTTATCATTATTATAATTAACTTGTTTTCAAAACACTAAATCTATTATAAGATTACAATTATATAAATAGAAATAATTATTGTAAATGAATCACAATTAATAGTATATTTTATTGTCATGAAAATAAACTAGAATTTTATATTATTCCTATTCCTGATATTTATAACTTATAAAGTTTTATTAAATTTTTAAATTTATCACTAATAAATCTTATATTATTAATATTTAGTTTATAACTTAAATATTTAATTTATCAAAATGATAGATTTGAACAAGTTGAAGTTTTTAAATTACAAATTACTTGTATTAATCGTACGGCCATTGCTTTGGTTTCATCGCATAATTGGCTTAACATTTAACGGTCTATCCATTGATCGTAATCTTAATATACGACAAAATACTTTTTATAAAACCTACGGTTTTATTTATCTAGCGTTTATTATAATTTACGGAGTATTTCTTTGTAGTTATGTATTTATTAGCCACGATGAAACAATGAACCATCTAATTGACAAAAATCTATCGAGATTTATTAAAACGCTCTATGTTACAATGTTATTATTGATGGTTACCAGAAATATTTTATCTATGTATGCAATTAATACAAATGTTGATCACAATATTATCGTAATTGTATCGAAAATGTAAATATTAATAAAATTGCCTTTAAAATTACATTGATCATATTCATTGGATTTTTAAGTATCATTAGCTTATTAATATTTCATGTAATAAACCTAATTTCTAATTATCAAGTTATTACTGATTTAATAAGGGCAGGGCATACTAGTTATATATACACTCGTTTTATATGCATATCATCTATGATTTGGTTATTTTTAATAATGAATAAGCTTGATAATATAATGGATACACTGGAAATATTTTATAAAGGTAATTTAAATTATATCTTAATATCTTTGTTTATAATTAATTATTCTTATCTAGATAACAAGATAATAAATGTGACAAGCACAGTTATTCAAATTGACCGCAGGTCTGCCTCTGTGTTTGCAAAATGCAGAAAAGAATATAATAAAGCGTATAAATCATTAAAACAAATCAACAATATTTTATCAAATATTCTAATAATTAAAATAATAGCTGTTATATTTTTTATCATGTTAAGAATTTACACATTTATATCAATTAGTACGTTGACATTTTTACAGACTTATGTAAGCATTTTAGTTATTACAACATGTGTTGAGATTTTAGACCTAATTATTATGTGTTTATTAAATGATAATTTGGGACAAAAAGTTAATAAATTAAGTGATGTATTGAATGGTCTGAATGTGAGGGATATGTCGGACAGTGAGTACAGGGAATGGCTTACGTTTACGACTGCTGTTAGAAATAGTCATACGTTTGGCTTAACTATCGGAGGATTCGCTCAAATCAATAAATCAACACTTATTTCAGTTTGTATTTTATTTAGGAAATATTACAAAAATTTAATTGTATATATTTTAATGGTGTATTAACTTTCTTTAACAGATTTTAACATTTATTTTGAATTACACGATAATACTGTATCAAACATCAAAATAATAGTTCCGTAATAATTAATTCAATAACTAATTGATATACTAATTAAATCAATCGATATTTGCACCAATTGCAAGATTACACTAACAATTATATTTATTGACAAAAAATTATTAAAAAATTAATTAACATTAAATTATTCAGGTACCTATTACCATAATGCTATTTCTTATGACTTTTATGTAGAATCGCTAAACATATAAATTACAAATGTCTCAAACTTTCAAATAATAATAAAACAGTCAATAAACCAATAAATTATTAATTTTGCATTTTATTTTATCCATTAACTTGTTTTCAAAAACATTTTTAAATGCACTAACATATTTTAGTGCAATAAAATAAAATAATTATCTTGTTAAAGTAATGTTGCATCATCGTTCATATTTAAATTGTTTTCTAAATACTAAATCTATTATTGAATAGAAATAAAAATAATTACTAAATGTTAATACAATATATTATTATATTTTATAGATGTCAAATAAAAATATTAAAATTTATTTAATTTGATATTTTCAACAAGTTATTTTCCATTTTATTATCCTTCAACCATATTCATTGATTATCATTTAATTTATAAACTAAACAAGTTAAGTTTAAATATGGTAATGTCAATTAATTTAAAGCTTTTAAATTATAAACTACTTGTTGTAATCGTGCGGCCATTGCTTTGGTTTAATCGCATTATCGGCTTAACATTTGCCGGTCTATCCATTGATCGTAATTATAATTTACAGCAAAACAAGTTTTACAACATATATGGATATATTTATATTGCGTTTATTATTATTATGAACGTTTATTTCGGCATGTATATGGTAATTAATATAGATGAAACAATAAATCATTTGTTGTATCAGGATGTATCGAATATTGTTAAAATAATGTATATTGTTATGTTAGTATTGATCGTAATCAGAAATATTTTGTTTATGTATACAATTAATACGAAAGTCAATCCCAATATTATCCGCAATTGCATTGAAAATATTAATATTAGTAAAAATAGACACAAAATTACATTAGTAATATTATTAGGGTGTTTTATGTTTATCATTTTATTTGTATTATATGTTATTAATATGTTTAATTATTACGATATTTATGATTTAATAAAGTTGGCGCAAATTATACATACATATAGTGTTTTTATATGCATATCATGTATGATATCGATTATGTTAATATTATCTGGAAATAAAATTGATAACATAATGGACATACTTAATATTAGTACTCAAGGTAATTTTTCACATTTATTTTATGGGACAAATAATGTATCTTTTTTCTTGTTATTTTTTAATCTAGATAACACAGTAATAAATGCAACAAGTACAGTTATTCAAATAGAGAACAGCTCAGTATTTGTTTTAATTAAATGCAAGAATAAATTTAATAAAGCGTATAAATTAATAAAGCAAAGTGATAATATTTTATCCAAGATACTAGTACTTAAAATAATAATTCTAATATTTTTAATTATGTTAAGAATATACACATTTATATCAATTACCGAGTACAAATTTCTACAAAGCTTAGCAGGAATTTTGGTCATTACAACATGTTTTGAGATTTTAGACCTAATTATTATGTGTTTATTAAATGATAATTTGGGACAACAAGTTAATAAATTAAGTGATGTATTGAATGGTCTGAATGTGAGGGATATGTCGGACACTGAGTACAGGGAATGGCTTACGTTTACGACTGCTGTTAGAAATAGTCATACGTTTGGCTTAACTATCGGAGGATTCGCTCAAATCAATAAATCAACACTTATTTCGGTTTGTCTTTTATTTAATTATAACATTTATTGAATATATTCATATTTTAATTTTGTATTCACTTTCTTTAACAGATTTCAACATTTATTTTGAATTACACAATAATATTGTATCAAACATCAAAATAATATCTCGGTAATAATTAATTCAATAACTAATTGATTTGCTAATTAAATCAATAATTATTTTTACTAATTGCAAGATTCTCTGTCGTCAATTGTTTTATAATATGTACAATTAAATAAATATAAAACTATGTAACTTATTTTTAACCGTAATAAATAAGTGGTTCCTCATTAAATTACATTAACTTTTACTTGTTTTGATTAACAAGTTCTTACAAGCATTGTATTATAAAACAATAATGTAAAATTAATTATAAATATATTACTAATAAATTAATATTGTAATTTATAAACATTTATAAACAACAAATGAAATGATATGTTAAGTAAGCTAGATAATAAAGTTGAATAACAATTATAATTTTGATGATTGTCCATCACATGAAACCGCTTTGATGTGATTGTTCGACCGATTCTGTCGCTCATTACTGTTGCGAATGCCATACAATCCGTATATTAAAAAGCCTATTAAAAAATATTAATAAACATTAATTAAACTAATTCAATTTATACTGATATTAATAATTTACCAATAATCATCCACACTAAAAACCTGATCCACGTCTCCACAGATAAGTTAAACATTAGATAAACGTTTACAAATACGCTTAATAGGGGCACAATAGGCACACCGGGAACCTGTGTGATTCATTATGATAATAATTTTAAAAATTTAATATAAATCTGTATCAAAACATATTAGTTGTATAAATACCTCAAATGATCGAGACTTTTGTATCATTGGTTGCCTTATAAGTAGTGAAATGACAATACATATGAGGGCTAATGTGAAGCTTGATGTGACAATTGGTACTACTTTTCCATCAAATATATCATTTTGCAGAAATACTAGCTGTGCGTCCAATATAATTATTAAAATACCTGGATGTTTATAAATGTTTATATAAATGTTTATATAAATGTTTATACAATAATTATCAATTGTAATAATAAATTGTTTGCAATAACTTATGTTATACTAAACTGATTGAAGCAATCAATGAATTGGCAATTTGTGATGAAAACTTTGTCGGACGAGACAATTGGTCTGAATTGAAAAGTTGTCGCCAAACAGTTGTGTTAATAATAGTGTCATTTAAGTGATTGTTTGCCGATATATCGTCACTATTTATTTCATCCTTTACTTGGTTTATGTCATTCATATCGTCTGAGTATCTGTTGTGACAAAAAATTAAATACTGTATACATATTATTATTGAGGAGAGAGAGAGAGAGAGAGAGAGAGAGAGAGAGAGAGAAAAGTAAAATATTAAGAAGTCACTGTTCAGTTTCAATTTATTGTAAATATGCTATCGATATAAAGCATTTAATTCATAATAATTAACCTTACAGTTTGTAAATTATAATAATAATTACAAATATAGCATGTATTAATTTATAACAGTAATATAACAATCACTGTATGTAACAATCTATCTTACATCTTACTTATTAAAAAATCACACATTACCTGATTATGATTATGGATTCTGCGACCAAAGTATACGCCAATAACGTACCTAAAAATTAATTTAAAAAATAATTCACAATAAAATCAGTGATTGCTACTGTTTACCAACCAATAGACATCATATCTGCCAACTGATCCAGATCAAAAATGGCAGCCATACACGCGGCGAACAGGCCTGAGATCATTGTGGCCCAAATGGGTGTCTTAAACCTGGCATTTACTGACGCCATTATACGGAAAATCACACCATCGCTGCCCATAGCGTACAGCACTCGGGGTAAGGGATACATAGCGCCCAACAGACTGGTCGACAGGCCATTGAGGGCACCGATGGACACAACCCATTTGGCCCAATGCCAGCCAACTTTGTCAAAAACATAGGGTAGGGCCGCACCGTTGGTCAGGTCCTTGTGTTGCAGATAATAGGGATACATAAGGGTCTGTACGGCACTGATCCCAAAGTAAGCCAAGTATATGATTAGGAGTGAGAAACATATGCTTAACGGTATGTTTCGTTTCGGGTTTTTTGCTTCCTCCCCTGTTCAATTTAATTATAACTTATATTTAGTGTTATTTAATTAAATGTATGAATGACTGGCAAACCTGTGGCGGCGATAGCGTCGAAACCGACAAATGCTATAGAAATTAATATATTAATAATTGTCTATTTATAGCAAAATGATAAATTGTGACTCTAGTTTAATTAACTATAATTACCATAGAAACATGTTGCGGCGCCGGCCATCATACCTGTACAGTGTAAACAGTAAAATATAATTTTTAATTAAATAATTTTTAGAAAATAATATTACCTGAGAAACCATTAGGAAAAAAGCCACCATTGCCAGCCCATGTGTATTGCGCTGGTATTTCGTTCTTGCTGATTTGCCAATTATGTAAGTTAGCCTTAATCAAGCCAGCTACAATCACAAATACGACCACACTTAAATTAACCACTGTCATAATTGTGTGCAAACGTATAGACTCTTTCACTCCAAATGCCAACAAAACTGATTTTGAAATTTAATAAAATTATAATTATTATCCCAACAAGGTAAAATAATTTTTAAATTGTTTGTAATTACCAGCCAGTCCGATTGTCATGGCAAATGAAATTGGGTCCGGATAGGACCCAAACCCATTCACATGTATGGGCACAACACTAATAAAATATTTTGATATTTTATTGTCACACAAGGCGTCAATATATACACTATAACCACGCGCTACCGAAGCCGCCCCTAAACGAACATAATAAGATAATAATTACAACATAATAATTAATTCGCATGATGTTATAATGGTTAGAATAAATATTTTACACTGATTATTTATTGACATGTTATCATTATGGCACATGTAATACACTTACCGATTATATACTCGAGCACTAAATTCCAGCCGATGACAAATGCCATGAACTCGCCGACAGTGACGTATGAGTACAAGTAGGCGGACCCGGCTCTGGGCACTCGCGACCCAAACTCGGCGTAACATAAAGCTGTAATTTTACGGTCAATGTTATATTTGCATGCTTATTTTAAATAAGGTAGTTTAAGACCTGCGAATAATGATGCGATTGCAGCTGTAACGAAATAGAGATGTCATCATGGTGATTAAAAAAATAATCATATAATTTTGACACATTGTACTTTACATACCAACTGTGAATGATAGGCACACCGATGGTCCGGCTGTTTTACCGGCCACCTCCCCGGCCAATACATATACACCTAACCCTAATGTTGAACCAATACCTGGAATTATATTAAAATTGAATTATTGTCATTTTAAAAGTTTTAAAAACATTGCTTGCAAATATTATGTTGTAAATATTACTTTATAAATTAAATAGCAATATAATTAAGTGAAGAACTTACAAGTTAGTTTATGTTTAAATACAGTTTATAATTAGTATAACAAAATAGATAGAACACATTGTAAAAACCTGCATGTTCTATGAAAAAATATTGTTATAAATAACATTGGTAAACTAAAAAAATATTTAATTATTACATTTGAATAGTTTTTCATAACAGGAACATACTGTAATTGTGTTGTGTTTATTACTTATTGTAACTTAATAAACAATTTACTATTATTATAAATTGTAAATATTAATGTTAAATAAGTAAATATATTTTAAGTAAACGTAAATTATTACAATTAACATGATGCAAAAATAAAACATACCAAGACAAGTGAGATCAAAAAATGACAGACACCGGTTCAGTTGACTTTCGTCTACCTTTTTGGCATCTATGGTCTTACGACTCACCAAAGCTCGTAATATGTATTTCCAACCCATTGTCAATGATTATTAATTATTGACTGAATGAACAAATTATATCCATCTATAAATTGGTAATCAAATAATTTTTATGCAATACACCCTCACTTATGGTAGAATAGCCAGTTGTCAAATTTACACAATTAAAATTTATTTTATCTTTTTTGTTGTTAAGAACAATTGTAATAAAAACTACATTTTTGCAATAACCAGAATTAAAAGTCAATGCTTGTCATTGAATATTTGTTAACATTGATGATAATGACAATGATTTATAAATTACTTTATAAATAATTGTATAAATAACTGTATAAATAATCCTTGAATATAATATAAAGTAGCACACTTTATTGTATTTATATTATGCATTAAAAATTATGTTTTTAATTTTATTTATTTATTTAAAACATTCATTTAATAATTATAAATTAATGATGTAACTAATGTAAAAGTTAAACACACTCGCACGTTTAGTGTAGTTGATCACACTACAAAGTACATTGTTTTTAATATTCCGTCTATTGTTTTCAAAACAATTCACGCAATGTATGTGTGATTTATTTGTAATTTTTAGATAATATATTTGTTGATAAACAATAAATGAATTGTTTGAACTAGTACAATACAAACTACAAACTTGTGAAATCAATTCGGTTTAATTCAACGAACTCATTCTAATAATTAACATGTAATTATTTTCAATATTAAACATTTTAGAGTAAAATGTTAAATAATTATATATGAATGAATCAATGTGTAGTAAACTATTATTACAGTTATATTGTTAATAATGTAAAAAACATTTAAACAGAGTTTAACAGTTGTATAAATTTATTAGCCAGAATACCAAATTGTCTATTTGCATAAATTATTACACTTACATAAAACCAATAAAAACGTAAATTAAATATTTAAGGCATTACAAAATGTAATAAATTTTTTATTTAATTTATTAATTCAAC